CATGTCTGTGAGGAGAGCCAGGTCAGGGCCGGTACAACTGAGCAAAAACCGAGGAAACGGCTGCGTTCGTCTTCTCTCCCTGGAAAGGTCAGCGGTTAGCTGTGATGAGGCTTTATCGGAAAGGGCTGCCCCCCATCTAGCGAGGTTGGCAGAGTGCCTATTGCAGCATGAACTACTGCCTGGTACTCCCAGCATGCTTTCTCCAACTAGGCTGGCTGTTAGGTCGCAAACCAGCCAAACGATGATAGCAAATTTTATATTCCATGTACTTGTCTATTTGGCCTTTCTCCACATGGAGTCTCTATGAGTTGGAAATGACTTGAGGGTGCCCCACAGTGACCCTTGCATTTCCTACATTGTAGGAAATTATCTGTGTAAATGTGAATATATATCATTTCAAACTGGATGTCTACTGGCCACAACTTAGTGTAAGATCTTGAACTACCAGGGGCCATACCAGAAAAATGCCAGTGTTGGTGTTAGGCAGTGATGCTTAGATGTCAAAATGCTTTTGATGTAGTTAGCATTGCCTACCACAGGTGAAAGTAACGTTCAGTGAGTTTTCTCTTGCTTAAATTGGAGTTGAGAGATGGAATGACACCTGTTAAGTGAAGTCGTTTCTTCATTATTTGGAGCAACATGTCTTTTTCTTTCTTTTAAAAAAATCATTTTATTAGGGGTTCGTACAACTCTTATCACAATCCATCCATCCATCCATCCATTGTGTCAAGCACATTTGTACATTTGTTGGCATCATCATTCTCAAAACATATGCTTTCTACTTGAGCCCTTGATATCAGCTCCTCATTTTACCCACTCCCTGCGCTCCCCCCTTCCTCATGAACCCTTGATAATTTATAAATTATTATTTTGTCATATCTTCCTTCCATATCCAACATCTTCCTTCACCCACTTTTCTGTTGTCCATCCCCCAAGGAGAAGGTTATATGTAGATCCTTGTAATCATTTTTTCTGTTTTAATGTGAGGGTAAAGGTAAAGAGATTTCAATGAATAATGGCAATTGGCTGTATTTATAAAGTACATAGGATAGCATTTGGCCCTCATAAGTTAGCTAGAAGACATTATTAAAATTGTGAAAAAATAGAAGACGATGGCATGAAACACTTGGACCCACCACCTACAGATTGTTAATTTTGTTTGCTCAATTGATATTATACGAAAAATAAAAATCTGAGTCTTGCTCTTTTTAGTTTAGATTGTAATGTAGGCATTTTTTGCTTGCTGGTAAACATTTCTAGTAAATGTCAACATTCTTGTAACAATACAAGGGGATACAGCCCCCCCCCCCAATGGAAAAAAATCTCCCCTGGGCAGAGTTTTTATAGTATGAATTTTTCCTGCTAGGTGAATATCCAGCAACTTGCTCTGAGTTAGTTTACCCAGAGGCTTTGCCTGGGAAGAGTCTCTGGTCACAGTGAATTTTTTCATAAAAACAGTTTCGATCAGATCTCCTTTTTTGTGATAGGTGATTTAAGAGAACAGCATGTAGCTGTGAAATTTTGTTTCCTTCTCAGAAATAATGCTGCAGAAACTGTTGTGATGTTGAACACAGCTTACAAGGACTGCACTATGGGGAAAAACTCGTGTAGGAGTGGTTTTCTCATTTCAGAAAAGGTGAAATGTCGATTGATGACAAACCTTTTTCTGGCTATCCGTCAACTTCCTGAATGGATGAAAATGTTGACAAAATTTGTGCACTTGTGCTTGAAGATTGACAACGGACCATTGAAAAGATGGGGAAGTCATCTGGACTGTGTTGGAGCTCAGCTCAGTGAATTTTAATGGAGATTTGGGAGGGAGAAGGGTCTCTGTGAAATTTGTGCCTGGGGCTCTGACTGACCAGGAGAAAGAATGTCCAGTGGAGACAGGTTGTGCTTTGAAAGCACAACTCTGAAGCTACCCAGACTTTTTTTTCCAAGGTCATTACTGGTGCCAAGACCTGGTGCTATTCTTATGACCCCAAAAGCAAACATCAATCAAGCCAGTGGACGATGCTATTGTCACCTCACCCTAAAACTCATCAAGTGAAAACAAAGATCAAAACTATGCTTATTTGGTTTTTTTGATGTGAGGGGGATAGTGTATTTGGAGTTCATTCCACCAGATCAGACTGTGGAGCTTTCTATTTAGAGCAGTGGTTCTCAACCTTCTTAATGCCGTGACCCTTTAATACAGTTCCTTGTGTTGTGGTGACCCCCAACCATAAAATTATTTTCATTGCTACTTCATCACTGTAATTTTGCTACTGTTATGAATTGGGTGACCCCTGTGAAAAGGTTGTTCGACCCTCAAAGGGGTCATGACCCACAGGTTGAGAACCGCTGACTTAGAGGTTCACAAAAGATTGCATACCACTGTGTGACAAAAAAGGCCTGGTTTGTGGCAGAGGATGACTGGTTTTGCCACTATGACAATGCACCTGCTCATGCAGCCATCTCAGTGTGCCAGTTTTTGGCAAAAAACAACAAACCTCTCTTGTCCCATGCACTCACCTGACCTCCCTCTGTGTGACTTCTTTTTGTTTCCTTGAATGAAGAGGGACAGGAAAGACAGTGGTTTGATGATGTAGAAAAGGTGAAAAAAAAATGAGGGTGGTGCTGTTACAAGCCATCAAAACCGATGAGTTTGACAAATGTTTCCCACAATGGAATCAGATTTGACAAATGTATTAAGTGTAATGGAGAGTACTTTGAAGGTGATAAGGTTGTTTTGTAAAAAAATTTGAATACATAGCTTTGGAAAAAAATTTGGGGTGGGGGATAGTATCTCCTACAGGTACCAAGTACCTACCAACATACTTTAAACTCTTCCTCTTTTAACAAAATATTTAGGTTAGAAAATAGCAAAACTAATATATATTTGTGTTTTACTTCATAAAAGAGTCATATTATTTCCTTATTTTTTGCTTGGAGATTTTATTTTCATTTGGAGATTGAGATGAAAATACAGAAAAGAATCTGGTATATGTCCCTAAAGGATAATTGTCCATCTCTCTTTAGCTTTCTTATTTGAGAAATTTAAGTAGCTCACTCTAGTGTTGGAGTAAATGAGACTTTTAAGAGTTCTACACATCTTGGTGTGTTGTTCTAAGAAGTTACTTGGGTTCAGACATTTATCAGTTTTAAAAGAGCATTTATCAGCATTTTAAAAGAGACCATGTGAAAAGTTATATTAATGTTCCACGCTATTTTAAAAAATTCTTCTAACAATGAGATATACACAAAAATTTGCACTTATTGGTGAAATATCATGTCAAAAATAGCCATGGGTTATTGGGGTGGGTGGGTGAGGGGGAACTTTCAGTATTAGGCTTATCTTGTGAAGAGAAGTGTAGATCCAAAATGTGTCTTTGTGTGTAAACTTTTGATTCATGGAGGGACACCCAATCTGGAGCAGTAGAGCAGTGGGATAAAAATGTACAGGAAAGACATTAAGTAAGTGGGACTTGAAGACTAGTTTTACTTGTTCTGTAAGATTTGTTGAATGCCTGTGTTGCTGAAGAATGCCTATTGCATGTACAGTATGTACATTTTCTAATTTAATTATGTAGTAACCATAAGCAGTGGAAATATTTCCCGGAAACTGAGCCTCAGAGAACGTAAGCAGCGTTCCCGGTCTCACAGATTCCATTTCTGGTCTTCTGGCTTCAGGAGGACTGTTCTTTTCCTGTCCCTTTGTATTGCCCCATCTTGCAGCCTCAAGGATTTATTTCAATTGAGAGAATACTTTTGTAGCTGAAATATAAGGAAAAGAATGGAGCCAAGCATGGAACGCTGTGACACAAAGAAAATCCAAGGTGAGGAATCGATGAATTGGGCATCTAGAATCAGTTTTATAGTGTTTCTGTGGACTATACCACAGGTTATCTGACAGGATCCAGGAAACAAGAGTCCCACCAAAATTTACAATTATCTGATGAGCACCTAACCCTACCTGTCACAGAATTCCTGGCTTCATGAAACTGATAACTTATTGGGGAAAACAGTAGGCAGATAATGAAAATATTTACTGATAGGTGATTTAATGGAGGCATATATAAAATTACAGAGTTATCAGAAAGATTAAAAAAATGGGTCAACAAACATCTTGAACTGTTTATAGCAGTGGTTCTTAACCTTCCTAATGCCGTGACCCTTTAATACAGTTCCTCATGTGGTGGTGACCCCCCAACCATAAAATTATTTTCATTGCTATTTTACTGTAATTTTACTACTGTTATGAATCGGGCAGGCGACCCCTGTGAAAGGGTCATTTGGCCCCCAAAGGGGTGGTGACCCACAGGTTGAGAACCGCTGATTTACAGGCTTTTCTTTTTGTTGTTGGTTTTATTTTGTTATTGCTTTGTTTTGCTCTCTCATTTTTTGTGCATATTATTATCTCTGCAGGTCTATCTAGATAAGATAGGCAGGATAAACAATCTGGAGGAGAAAACAATGGACCAACCATTCCAAGGGGACAGGGGGGGGGGGGAGGCAGGGGAAAAGAAGGGGATGTTAACTAACCGAGGGAACAACAAGTGATCTAAGATCGATGGCAAGGAGGGTGTAGAAAGCCTGGTAGGGCTTGATCAAAGGCAATGTAACCGAGAGGAATTACTGAAACCCAAATGAAGGCTGAGCATGATAGTGGGACAAGAGGAAAGTAAAAGGAAATAGAGGAAAGAACTAGGAGGCAAAGGGCATTTATACAGGTCTCTGAGGCTGTCAGTCTCTATGGAAGTAGATAATTTAATCTGCAGCTGCTGGATTTGAATGTGGTTAGTCCAGTGCCCACTGGATAGCACCACTTAGGGTCCTTATAATGTCCATTTGTGTACTGCCCCTTCATTGAATCAGTTCTGACCCAGGGAACCTATAGAACTACTTCTGTGGGTTCCAGAAGCTGTAACTTTATGTGAGCAGAAAGCTTCATCCTTCTCCCATGGGGCTTTTGAAATGGTGGTTTTGAACTGCTGGCCTTGTATGTGGCCCAACGTGTAACTCACTACACCACCGGGCATCCCATGTCCCTTACACATTACTCATTGCCACTGAGTTGATGCTGATTTATAGCAACCCTGTAAGTCAGGGTAGATGTGCCTCTGAGTGTTGCCGAGACTATAACTCTTTCTCCTGTGGAGCAACTGGTGGTTTAGAACTGCTTATCAGCTTGTAACCGCTATGCCACCAGGGCTCCTATGTTGTATTTATTGTCATTCAGTTAAAAATCCTTTCTAATTTGCAAAAGGCAGGTATTTAAACCAGTATGATTTTACTTAAAAAGAGAAAATTTGTATTTACTTGTTCTTGTATTTCATGTACGGTGAAAAACAAAGCTTCAGAAGTTCACTTGAAATTCTTTTATTTGAACACTTATCTTATGTTCTTTATTTGTAGGTTATGAAAGCCATACTTGTTTATTATTGTAAAAATTAAAAATTTTAGTGATGTCCTTACATGTTAAGTGCTTTGTTTTTGAAATTACTTTTTAAAGTAATGAGATTTTTGTTCTCCAGAAATGAAAACTGATCTGAACTTACTGTTAGAGTGTGTCAAGCATCAAATGGACCGCCCTGTTTCACAAAAGAAAGCTTTGATCGTTATTCATGCCATTTGTCAACAATACAGTAAGACTTGATAGTGAATTCTTACCTGTCATTCTTATTCATTCATGCTGTAGTATCTCATATTTAGAGTTCTTTTTCTTTCACTCATTACTCTGCATGTTACATTCTTTTCAAGTAATTTATTTTATCTGTAAAAGAATAAGCAAATTAAAGGTCATTTCTATTTTGTTTTGTCTATGTACCTACAGGTAATGCAAGTGCTTATTTCCAGGAAATTGGTGGTTTGCTGTTCATAAGAAATCTTGCAAAGTGTAATGAACATAGCATGGTAAAAGAAGCAGCCTTATACACAATGGGAGCAATTGCAGAACAAAATGGTAAAATATTTCAATATTATTATCCTTTAAACACTGTTATACTCCAAACAATTTTATATTTCTGAATAAATGTATACAAGTGCTGTAGTCAAACAGTGAAAAAAACCTACAGCCATCTTGTATTTGGATGGTGTGCTTTCTGTACAGAAATTCACGTGGACAGAATTTTTTGTGTGTGCGTTATACCTGAAATGAAGTTGAATGTAAACCGTCAGCATGTCAAACCAGCTTTATATTTTTGTTTTTCCCTTCATTAGATATTTATGAATTCCTATTTAGAACTGGGAATTGGGAATACCGGGATAAATAAGACAGATTTGTTTGCCTTGGAGAGATTCTAATGACTGGTTCCAACCCCGAAACAGTTCTCTGCCTAGGAGTCAGTTCTGACTCACAGCAACCTGCTAGGCTTCTTGAGTGGGTAGTACCTTGGTTCATAGCTTCACATGATGAAAGAATTCACGTCGAAGCCCATTTTGTAATCCAAGTGCGTTTTTGTGAAGGACAGGACAAGTTTTGGGTTTTATAGCCTCAAAAGGGTTCACAACTGGGCATGAGCAACCTCGTGGTAAAAAACACCCACACGTGTGGAACTGAGGGGGATCCCAAGAGGCTAGAAGCCCAAGAATCCTAGAGGTTAAAAGCATGTGGACCCAGAGGCTGTAGGCCCCTGGTAGGCCCTGAGCAGGTGCATGTGGGCCCACATGAGGGTGGGAGACCCTTTCACCCTCCCCTGCCTCTAGAAGTTAGGTAAGAGAGCAAAGGAACAAGAGAACATGCCAAAGCATGCTCCCTGGTTTTACTCTAGCCCACCCTTTGGCTGGGAGAAGGAGTGGTTGAAGGTATTAGTTGACTCCATTGGCTGGGTTGAGCCCACCTGGGCGATGTCATGAGCCTGGGCCTAGTTTGGACTGCCCAGGTGTACCTCCCACCTGGCTGGGGGGGTGGGGGTCTTGAGTAGGAGCATGCTCAGTTTAGGGGTCTTCATAGGCGTCTAATGGTTGCCTGATTTTCTTCCAACCTCCTTTATGGGGGTCTTTGCAGGCGTGGGAGGGACAACCCTCTTGTTCCTAAATCTGGCTACCTAACAAACACTATGTAGGGTTTCCAAGGCTGTAAATTGTAGTATTAAATTAAAATTGGTAATGAGGGAGGTGGGGGGCCAGCCCCCACAGCTAATACTCTCTACGAGTTCAGTAATACTACTTCTGGGTTCAGTAATGCACAATTGTACGGTTGAGATATATAAGTATTATATTAAAGTCATCTAGAGCATGAGAGATATTACAATAATGTAGTCAGACACTTTACATGGTAGCATTGCTCACCTCAGCCCAGCTTGGTGGTCCACGTGGAGAGAGGGGGAAGGGAAGGAGGGCAAGGGAACAAGGGAGAGGGGAGAGGGGAGTCGGAGAGCTCTATATTGCTGACTCACGCCTATATACCTTTTGGGGGCATGCCAGCCCACTGATTACAGGGAGGAGCTGCACTATAAATTACACAGCAATGAGAGGGTGGTCTAGGGGGTGGTCTCTGGGTCTCCATAGGAACCATTATCAGTAGGGTGCAAACCCCTCCTACAGGAGCCTGTCCATTGTCTCCAGCAGCAGGGAGCAGGCCCAGTGCAGTCTGGCAACTGATCGCCCTCAGTGGGGGGAGGAATGCCTGCGCATCTGACCTCCCCCCACAGTAAATCTTGACAGGAGCAGAGAGGCTCATCTTTCTCCCGAGGAGCAGCTGGTGGGTGTGAATCTCTGACCCTGCGATTATCAGTACATTTTAGCTACAGCACCACCAGCACTGGCTCTAGACACTGGATAAAATGCTGATGAGTATCAGTCTGTTTAATTTTTTAAAAAATTCTGCTTCTAGCATAATAATCACAAAAAAGCAATTACTGTAAAGTAGGTGTTATTTTTGTGTTCTTAAAGAGCTCTTTTTTTTATCATGACCCCAGATCTACCTTACAGATCTGGCTAGACCAGAGCATATAAACTGGTACAGCTAAGAGTTCTGGACACACAGAAACCAGGATAGATAACCCCCTCAGGACCAATAATGAGAGTAGTTGATGCCATGAGGGTAGGGGGAAGGTGAGGGGAGAAGGGGGAACCGATCAAAATGATATAAAAACAATATGCCCTGCGGGGGCCACCCCCACCCCCTCCACCCCACCCCACCCCCGCGGCCACCCCCCAATGACAGAAACATGGGTAAAGAGAGAGAGCAGATACTGTAAAATATGAAAATAAAAATAATTTATAAATTATCGAGTGTTCACGAGGGTACTTCAGGATGGGGTAGGGAGGGGAAAAAGGAGGAGCTGATACCAAAGGCTCAAGTAGAAAGAAAATGTTTTGGAAATGATGATTGCAACATATGTACAAATGTGCTTGATACAATTGATTGTTATAAGAGCCCCCAATAAATTGATTTTAAAAAGAGCTCTTTTTTATTTCTACAAAAGTCTCAAGAAAAATAGCAATAGTATAAATTTTCCCTGTTATAAAATTTTTAAATTTTTTTCTAAATTTTTATTGTGAATTAGGTGAAGACTTGCAAAGCAAATCCGTTTTCCATTCAACAATTCACACATATTTTTGTCTCTCGTGTCATTGTTTGTAATTCTCGAAATGTAACATCATTTATCCTACTTCCTCTATTTCTCCTTTCTGTTCTTCCTTTTTTCCTAACCTTTCTGCCTTCTAAACTTTGGCCTTGGGCAAATGTTACCCTGTCCTCTTTTAAGGACACATACTTCCTAGTGCTGTTGTTCTCGTTTTAGACCTGTCTATTGTTTAGCTTTTAGTTTTGAAGAGCTGCATCCTTGGTCTGTCCATCCAACTCTAGGCTGTCAGTTTATCAGACTGTGGTGGCTTGCATATTGCAATGATCCTGGAAGTGATGCCCCTAGTATTTCAGATACCAGCTGGATCACCTCTGGTGAATGTTTCAGTGGAGCATCTCCAGCTGATCTCAACTGTGGGGTGCCGAATGACTCTTTCACAGGCGTCACCTGATTCATAACAGTAGCAAAACGACAGTGATGAAGTAGCAACCAAAAAATAATTTTATGGTTGGGGGGATTCACCACAGCATGAGCAACTGTATTAAAGGTCCACGGTATTAGGAAGGTTGAGAACCACTGTTCTAGATGAAGAACACACTAGGAAGACAGTGTAGGCTGTCTACTTCTAATCAATTAACCACTGAAAATGTTATGAATACCAATAGAACACTGTCTGATGGAGTGCCAGAAGATGGGCCCCTCAGCAAGGAGGATTTGAAGCACTTGATAATGAAGGTCAAAAATGGTAGCCTTTAGTATGCAACTCTATGCAACGAAAACAAAAACCCTCACATCTAGACCATAGACAACATTGTGATAAACAGAAAACATTGAAGTTGTCAAGGATTTCATTTCACTTGGGTCCTTTATCAATGTTCATGGAAGCAGCAATCAGGAAATCAAACAACATATTTCATTGGGTAAAACTACTGCACAAGATCTATATGAAGTGTTTGAAGACGCAGGTGCACTTGACTCATTTTAGTCTCCTCGTGCATGTGAAAGCTGAACAATGAAGATTAAAGAATTAACATATTTGATTACGATACTGACCAAGCTAATTGGCTATGCCGTGCACGGCTAGAAGAACAAACACACCTGTGTCTTGGATGAAGTACAACCAGAAAGCTTCTTAGCAGTGAAGCTAAGAGAGGCTTCGTTTTACATACTTTGGACATGTTATCAAGACAGGCCAGGCCCTGGAAAAAGATAACGCGGTTAGTAAATTAGAGGATGAGTGAAAAAGAAGACAAGGTAGATGACCCTGGACAAGACGATTGACACAGTGGCTACAACAGTGGACTCGGATATAACGATTGTGACGCTGGCCCAACCAGGCAGTGCTTCATTCTTTCATGCGTGGAGTCCCAATGAGTCAGAACCGCCTTGATGGCACCTAACAATAGCAGCTTGTCCTGTCTAGGTTTTCCTAAAGAAAGCTCATTTAAGACAAGTTTTCTAGGTGCCTCTACCACCCTAGGTTTGTGGTAGAGGTCAGGTCTGTGCCACTGGACCTGGGAAAATGGTGGTTTCCTGACCTGATGAATTAGAGAATGTATAGACCCAGTGATCATATCGTAAATGCATCTGCATCCCAGGAAGTTGGCTGTGATTGTCTTACGATCATTGGTCAGGTTTACAGTGTTATGGAACTCACTTCAGTCCTGTACTAGCCTGGATGGAATTGAGTGTGCAAGCCCTAGAACCTTCCTACAAGAGAATACACCTTGTGTAAAATATACCAGAGGCAGTGGGCGGGAGGAGGTGGTAGTGTTTGGTGGAAGGAGCTGATACCAAGGGCTCAAATAGAAATAAATGTTTAGAAAATGTTGATGGCAACATACATACAGTTATGTTTGATACAATTGATGTACCACATATGTGTATATATATATACATATACACACACACAGATGCTACTCTTCCTGAAGTGTTTTGGAGTGGATTGATTCTATCTGGGACAAACTGGCACAGTAGTAAGAAAGCTGTTGACACTTGGAAAACTTGAGATTTGGTGGTTCAAGGACCTTACTTTGCTCCTTACTGGAGGGCTGATGCCCAGTGATGGCAAAACTGGTGCACAGTTTATTAAACAGAGCTGCTGTTGTGGCCCAGGGAGGCAAGTGGATTACTCTGTCTTCCGAAGTCACCTCTTCTTTGAATTCAGACCGATTGCTTTCCCTCTTTGAAGGGAATGGATTTGTTTAGGAACGCTGCTTTGGACTTTGGATTGTCAATCCACATTTTACTTTGTAGACTAGAACTGACATACCACAGTGTTGTAAGAAGCAAGTTTCGACCTTTCCTCATATATACAACATAAAGGATAGTGACTAACTTACAAGCTACAGATAGGTCTCCATGCCTGTTCTCTCTTTTTATTGCTGTGTCTTTGGTCCTCTGGAGCAAGCGGGCCCAACAGGATGAGCAGATGAGTGATTGGAGCTGTGTTTCTTTTGTAACTCAGAAGACCTCTGAAGCGGAGCCAATGAAAATCTTTGGCTGTGGCCATGGATTTCAGGTCACACTGAAATTATGACTTCCTTAATTTACACTGCAGAAAAAATGTTTGCCAGCCTGGAAATTTGTATGGGTATTTTCTGTAGGTATAGTGAAACTCACATTTTTTATGGATTTTTGTTTGTTTTCTTTTTTTGCTGAAAATTAGGCATTGGAAATTACATTCTATTAGTCAGTCCTTCTGTAATACCATGGTTGTGCGCCACAAGCTATATATGCAGGATAATAACTTGTTCAATTGTGTTTTGTAATCGAGCACTATAAAACATGACGGAGCTGAGCTATTATTACTGATAGATTTTTCCTGTCCAGAAATTTGTATTTAACACTTTATGGAGCCCACATGTAGATTCAGTTTAAAGAAGAAAATAATTTTCTACAAGTAACCGTAAAAGCTAAAATAAGTACGGTAAATAAAATAAGGATTCTAGCCACAGTTTTCCTCATTCGGGTTGAACTACACTGTCCACCACTCACCTGTCAGTTTGTCATAGTGCAGTCACCCAAAGAGAACCGGTTTCAGCAGAGCTTCCAGACTAAACAGACCACAGAGAAGGAATAGGCTGTCTGCTTCTGCGGAATTAGACACCGAAACCCTCGTGAGTAGCGCAAATCACTGTCAGCTACTGATGTCCTCATGAATAGAAGCAGAGCATTGTCATTATAGTGCCAGAAGATGAGCTGAGCACATTGTTTTGTTTAGTTTGATTTTAACCAAAAAAATCTAGCACATTGAGATACGTGTTTCAGAGTCTGGATCAATTCCTTCTGGTTAAGGTTGTCTTCTTTGGACCGCTAAATAGAGTATACATTTATTAATTTGTCAGAACATATATCTTGGGATATATTGAAGGTCAATGTAATGAAATCTGGTTGAGAACCACTTCCAGTTCGACAATGTTGTAGTTTGTTGATTTTATATTTTAATTGTCTTAAAGAATAATTAAAGTTATGTTTTTCATTTCAGTTTATTGTCAGGAGACTTTGTGCACCTCAGAGTTGTTTGAAGACTTAACTTTGTTCCTATCTGATAGTGCTTCCAACTTAATTTTAAAAAGAATGTCTGTCTATGTTGTTTTGGTACTGGTTTCAAATAATAGTAAGTATTCTTTTTTATGTTTCAAGATCACTTCTTAAAGACAATAAGCTGGGACAGTCATTATTAATCCTTTGACTTTAGTCTCTGTGTTAGGCTGAATTGTCTAGAGACACAAAAGCAGTGACACTCATATGTAAAAGAATGAACTTTATATCAGGAAGTAAGTTTTACGAAAGGACAGCGTTCAGAGCAGTAAGAAGAGGAGGGATGAAGTGGGAAGCATGGGAGGGACATGGAATGAGTGTTCTTGCATTGTGGGATTGCAATCAATTAACACATGACAAAATATATATTAATTGTTGACGGAAGATTTATTTACTCTGCAAAGCTTCCCCCAATTTACAATACAAAAGCTGGGGGTGGTGGGAAATCTTCCTAACGTCAGAGTTTATATACTTAAATCCTATAATGGCCCTGTGATTTCAAGGATTTGATACCAAGCTTGACATGCTTAAGAAGTCTATAGCAAAAGACAGAAAAAATATAAATGTCCATCTATAGGAGAATTTATAATCTCGGTATATACACACAATGGAATACTGTGCAATGTTTAAGGATAAAGATTAATCTTCAAAACATAATAATCTTTTAAAAAACAATTGTGCTCTTAGTAATAATTCACATGGCAAATTAAGTTCTTGTTTAACAAATCCTGCACACGTTGTTCAATGACATGTTACATTTTTCACATTGTGTCAACATACTCAAGAATTCCATTCTGGGTGTTTCTGTTCCATAATAATCTTGATGACAGATTTTTATCTACTGTGATCCTGTGTTATATCTTGCAATCCTTCACTTTTAAAGTAAGCATTTAAAAGTTAATTATGTAGTGTAAGTCATGCATTAAAGGCTATTTTTCCCCAGGGACAGGACAGACACTCATCAGAGAAACAGGTTGTATTCAAGTTCTGACACAGTTGTTTAGGTAGGCAAATATAAATTTCTTTTTCTTAATTACTCACTACCTAAGACCTTACCACATTTATACTAATTTGTTTTCCTTTCACCTAATAGAACAGTTCTTTCAACAGATGAGTTGAATCTGTCAGATAAAAACATTTTCCAGTTGTGGTCTGGCGTATGCAGTGCTCTGTGTGCCTGTATCAGCAATCCTCAAAATGGTAATTGATCTCAACTATTGACATGGGAAACTAAAGTTCATAGGAAACTAAAACACTGCGACCCTCACTTCTTACAAATGGTATTTTCCAAATGACATTATTAGAACATGATTGGTTCTTTCTCCTTTTAGAAGACAATCAAACAATTTGCTGTTCACTTTTTCCACATGCCAATAAATGGTTAATGGATTGCATGAAACCTGAGATACTTCGCCCTGTTTGCTCATTTATCAGTCTCACTCTGTCAAATAATAGTAAGTATTAATTACTCTCTAGGTTAGACTTGAGGAAACCTTCCAAAGCATAATAATGCATGTCATTTTGGACACCTTTAAAGCGATGCAGATAGGACAGTCTCAAGAGTAGGTGTTGTTAGGCTGTCAGAGAGATGACAGTCCAAGCATAGTTTGGGATCTCCCTAGAAGCCCTCAAAACACAGCAACAAGATAGCAATGCTAACAACCCCAGACTGTGTCGTCCCCCCCTCCCCCTCCGCCCCAACTGAACTGAAGGAGAAGCATCTACAACAAAACCTCTGGAAACGTCCCAGATCGTCTGAAATGGAACAACTCAGCGCAGAACACCCAAGCAAAACTCATAGGACAAACACGAAACCACAACAGCAATTAGAAAGTAGTTTTAGCTGAATGACAGTGAAAGCACAAAATATTCTCAGAGGCAATGGATAGAGGGAGATGTACAGCATGAAAGCTTACATGAGAAGAAAGGTTTCTGATTAATTATACTAGTGTCCACCTAAGAAACTTGAACTCAGATAACTCAAAACGCACTGTCATTGAGTCGATTCCAACTCATGGCAACCCTGTAAGACAGGGTAGAACTGCCCCTGTGGATTTCTGAAACTTTAACTCTATGGGATTAGAAAGCCTCATCTTTCTCACCTGGGATGGCTGGTGATTTTGAACAGCTGATCTTGTAGTTAGCAGCCCAGTGCATAACCATTATACCACCAGGGCTCCTGAAATCAGTGGAATAGAAAAAGAACAGAAATGGGGGAAAAAAATCAATGAGCCCCAAAGCTGACTCTTTGAAAAGATCAATAAAATTGTACCCTGACTGATCAAGAAATCAAGAGAGCCCAAATTTCCAATAGCAGCAATGACTTACTTTAAGTCTTGACAGACATGAAAAAGGTTAATCAGAGAATAGTAGATGAGAAAATAACGTTCATTCATATTTAACTTGATTGCCTACGTAGAAAAAATCCCAAGAATCTGAAAAAGCTCCAGAGTTCCAGGACACGTGGTCAGTGTGCAAAAATCAATTGTATTTCTACATGCTAGCAACAAACAGTGGAAACTTTAGAGATGCTTTTTTTTTTTACAATAATACCAGAAAAACGAAATGTTTTCAGAGATACGTTTAACAGAATATAAGTAGTCTTCAAAAAAACTCATGGAAAAAAATGAAAGGATAATGGAATTTTTTCCCATGAATGTTTTAAAGCCCACTCCTAGGTGCAATTCTCAGCATGCTGAAAATGAGAAGAAAAAATTGCTAAGGTACACTAAAGGTGCCTTAATTCAATGGAAACATATATCATGCTCATGGGTTGTGAAATCATTATTTTTAGAATGTCACTTCTCAGATTCATTTCTAAATTCATGGCATTCCTATTGAAAATCTCAGCAGGCTCTTCCGTAGTAATTGGCCAGCTGATTCTAAGATTCACATGAAAACTATAAAGGACCTAGGAAAGTGAAAAATGGTTTGGAAAAGGTCAGAATTGCAGGACTTCTGTTGCCTGATTTCATCTTTTACTATCCAGTAATCAAGAAAGTGTGGCATTGATGTAAGTGTAGGCAGAGAGAATGGAGCGAATGCGAGACACCCCCACCACCTACATTGTCCGTTGGTGTTCTACAAAGGTGCCAAGGTAATTCTGTGGAGAGGGGCACGGGAAAGTAGTCTTTCCAACAAACCATTCAGGAAAAAGTAGAGACACATATCCAAAAAAGGAATTTCAACTCTCACTTCACACGGCATAGAGAAATTAACCTGAAATGCTCCATTTTTCAAGATAAAAGGAGAAAACAATCACTAGGTTGAGGGATTCTTACAAAAAACATAAACCACTAAAGAAAAACATGTAACTTGAATGCCATTAAACTCTTGTTGCTCTTCCAAAGATCCTGTTAAGAAGATGAAGGGCAAGTTACAGATTGAGAGAAGTTATACGGGCAAAGACAACCGATAACTTACAGACTGAATAAAAGAAAGGACACATAAATAAATAATTAGCAAACAGCCTAATGAAACAACAGGCAAATGATTTAAACAGATACTTTACCAAAGAAGGTATGCATATTAAATGAGACCTTAAAAACATGATTGTTGATGTCTCTCTAGTCTACCCCAGATTCACGTTGGCCCCGTGTGTAACAGGATTGGAGAGTTGTGAGTCAAAGGGTTTTCATGGGCTGAGTTGGGGAAGTAGATCTGGAGGCTTCTCTTCCTTGTCTTTTATCAGGAAACTCCACTGAATCTTGTTCCACATCAGAGCAACACACAGGTTCCCACTGACAGGGTGGTAGCTATGCTGAGGTGCATTTGCTAGGAATTGAACTCAGTTCTCCAGAATTCTACCATCGAGCCGTACTGCCCCTCTCAGCATTATCAGTCATCAGAAAAGTCCACACTAGCATCTAAAGAGATACCACTACACACTCCGTGTGGGTAGCAGTAAAAAGACTAGCAATGTTAAAATTTGGCAAGGAGGCGGAACTGAAACCTTTCACACATGCTTGGTGTATGTCTACAGTCAGATGTTTAAAACAACTAGTCACATTTCACACGCAAAGGAACACTTTTCTAGAATTCTAACAATTGGAATCTCTTTCTTTGATCCCTTGATAATATCTCTTTCTCTAAAAGCCAATGTGAATGACTGATCTTTGACCTTTAGCAAATTGGTATGGCATACAGATTAGTGAAAGCTTGAACTATTCAATGTACAACCAACAATTATGGACTAGGCCCTTCCCTTCTGCGTATAACTGGGGAACTCAGAATTTAAAACTTTGGTGGTAGCTTCTAAGCATTTAAAAATACTTCCTGTTTTGAACTTTAAAAAAATCTTCAAAAGAAGCCTTTTCTCCATAATAATAAAAAGGTTTGCTCGCTTTTAAATAATGGTTTCTAATAGAGCCTCTCAGATTTAAAAAATATGGAAAATATTAGATTAAGATCTCTGTGTTCTCTTGACCAATATAAAAGGTTGTTTTATAAAAATTATCTTTGGTCTTGTCTCTGAAACTAGGGCAGACTGCAAAGCTTTTGTGGCTGAACTAGAATTGCTAGCTTATTACATGCCTGTGACTGGAACAAGGCTGTGGAGACTACTGAAACCCCTGATCAAGGGGCTGCTCTCATCAGGGTAATCTTGAACAGGGAAACCAAGGAGTCTAGACTTGACACACACATCTGTCACTGAATCTTTGCTTGGAATAGATGTTAGGACGCTAAATTATAAGCTTCTAAACCTACTTGGCCTCCTACCCCCTTTTCAGAAAAAAATATTCAGCACCTACCCCAATTAAAACCATATGTACTGTCACCTACAATCCAGGGCAACATGTAGGTCTCTGGTTTTGCCACTTCCCTGGATTATTTCAGCATGTATCATCCCACCAATGGGGAAAAATGACCCACTTGGGGAAACAGGACGATAAGTAGTATGTGTTAATCTGATGCTTCAAGAAGTAGAAAACTTGGCTTAAAGATGGATAAAACACATGCTCTTTTGGAAAAGTTTCATTATTTTGCCTTTTTTAGCTTCAGGCGATCTGAGGAATGTGGTATGTTTGAATTCGGACAGTAAGCAGCTAACTAAACTAAATGAATGAGTGTTAGTTATAGGAAGTGCTAGTCAAAGTGCTCACGAAATGAACTGAGCTTTCTAGCATTTAAGATAGGATTATGGAAATCATTATGTAATAGTATAGCATATTATATAATAAGGAGCCATGGTAGCAGTGTGGGTTAAGTGTGGGCTCTTAGCCACAGGTTGGCAGTTAAAGTCCACCAGCTGCAGTTTAAGTCCACCCCTTGAAGATGTACAGTCTTGGAAACACTAGGGAACCGTTTCACTCTATCCTGTATTATTACTATGAGTTGGCATTGACTTGATGGCAGTCGGGTTTTGGGTTTCAGCCACAAGGTTGGCTATTCAAACCTACAAGCTGCTTTAAAAGAGAAAAATGAAGCTGTCTGCTTCCATAAAGATTTACAAAGCCCTGGAAAGCCTTTATATAGGGTCACTATGAGTCAGAATCAACTCGATGAGAGTGGGTTTGTTTTCTTAAGTGTATATATAGTTACTGTGTTAGTCCAGGTAGACTAGAGAAACAAATTCATAGACACTCACGTGCATAAGAAAGAGCTTTATATAAAAAAATAGTTGTATATTAAGAAAACATTCCAGCCAAGTCCAGATCAAGTCCATAAGTCTGATATTAGCCCATATATCTGATTCCAGTCTGTAAATTCCTCTTCAGACTCATGTGCAATGACACTGAGTGCAGGAAGATCACAGGCCAGTGGGTGGAAAGTCTTGTGGATCCAGCGGCAGTGAAAGCATTTCAGTGCTGGCTTGGGTCTCTAGGTGGCTTCTCCAGCTCCAAGGTTCTGGCTGCCATCAGCATAGCTCCATGTGGCTTGTCAATAGGAAAGTCTTGCAGGGAGAATCTATGTGTCCTGCCCCAGTGAGCTATTTATCTCCATAGCTCCTCAGGTCATCAAGCTGCGACCTGATTGACAGGCTAGTCTCCACCCCTTTACTCTTAATAGTCTCAAGTTGACACCAGATTATATAACTACCACAGATAGCTTCTGCCAAGGGGAGGTTCTTACATGTGTACTTAGTGATTATGGATGTACACAGGCAAAGATGGGACTTTTAATGCTCTAATTTTGGGATTTTTAATTTAAAAAGTCAAGTTAATGTTGCATTTATTGCAGTGCCTTGTTGACATGAGATATTCATAGTTCTGCTACTTCCTTCCTTAAGCTTCCGTTCAGAAACACTTCATATCTGTGGGCGGACTGGATGTATTGTCTCAAGTTCTTGTGAAGCTGGAGTCTGATTCCCACAAGACCCCACCCAGTGCTAAGCTTGCAGTAACGGTGATAAAGACGGTGGATGCCTGCACCATTGACAATCGTGAGTGAAAACGCCTTGTCATTTTCCTACAATTGTTCTTTGTTTCTTTTCAGCGTGGCTAATGCTGAAGTGACCCATTGTGCACACACAGGGACTGGACTTCAGGGGGCCTTAGAAATTATTTCTCCCAACTCCTTATTTGCCTGTGGAGGTTATAACATCCTGAAGACTTTAAATCTGCATCTTCTGACATCAGGTCTAGCGATAGAATCGTCATAAGACTGTCGATCATAAACCTTTGTTTCACTTTTAAGAACCATCATTAACTTAAAAGGTTGAGATGGAGAAATCTAAGGACATCTTGGTGATATAAGGAACGAAAAGCCAAGTTTGTAGATTTGAAAAAACAACTAATATAAAGAGTCAAGAAAAGCCTGGCTCTTGTTGATAAGCACAAGGTCTAACTTGCCTATTGCACCTTCACAAGGAGTGGCAGAACCAGGCTTGAGCCCATGACTACTTATGAATTGTTCTCATAGGAAAACCAGACTGACTTTGAAGAATAATGAAAAAGCACTGATGATGTTTTCCAAATCAACTAGAAAGGGCCTTCTGTGTGCCAGGCTCTCTCTGTGTCTGTGTAGTCATCTCCCACTACCATCAAGTTATTCTGACTCCTAGTGACCCTGTAGAAAAGTCTAGAACTGCTCCTGTGTCTTTCTGAGGATGCATATCTGTATAGGAACAGCAGGCCTCATTCCTCACTTGGAGCAACTGATAGTTTTGAACTACTGACCTTGTGGTTACCAGCCCAAAGCATAACCCACTATGCTACCAGGGTTCCTGTGGCCTTTGTTCTTCAGGTGCCCTTGAATTGGTTCCAACTTAAAGCAACAAAGTGGAACATTGCCTGGTCCTGTGACATCCTCACAGTTGTTCTTGTGTTTGAGCCCATGGTTGCAGCCAGTGTATCAATCCATCTCATCGAGGGCCTTCCTCGTTTTTTTCCACTGCCCTTCTGCTTTACCAAGCACGATGTCCTTTGCCATGGACTGCTCTCTCCTGCCAATACGTCCGAAGTATGTGATAGGAAGTCTCACCATCATTGCCTCTAAGGATCATTCTGGCTGTATTTCTTCTGAGACAGATTTGTTTGTTCTTTTGGCAGTCCGTGGTGCTTTATTATATTTCACCAATACCATCATTCAGACACATCGATTCTTCTTCGGTCTTATTCAGTGTCCAACTTTCACATGCATATGAGGTATGCATGTGATATCTAGAGATGTGACAGCTACTCAGTGCCATGGAGACAGTGCTGACTCAGCAGCCCTGTAGGACAGGGTAGAACTGCCCTTGTGAGTTTCCGAGGCTGTAACTGTTTACGGGAAGAGAAAGCCCTCCCTTTCTGCCATGGAGTTGACCTTGCAGATGGAAGCCTAATGCATAACCGGAGCTCCATGTGCTATCTAGAGATACAAAAGCTGATTAAGCTATAATCCCCCTGAGCCCTCCACAGTCTTAACTGTTGATATCAGTATTGTGAGACTCTCAGTGGATGCTGTTAACAAGCTCCATGAGGAGAAGCATCGCTGGACCATCTCAGTGTAGCTTCCATTTTGTTTCCTATAGAACAATGGCCGGTTAACAGTGTATTTCAGTCTGAGGCAGGAATCGATTATGTAGGCCATATTGCTTCATAGTGATAACATTATGCAGAACAATTAAGAATTCTTTCCCCAAAATTGTATTAGTAAACTATCTTCAGTGAGCAGAGGGATTCATGTCAGGTGTAAAACCATCAGATTGCAATGTGTTTATATTCACACAGAACATACATACATTAGATATACATGTGTGTTAGATGCGATAACAGATGTATAATAACCTTTCTCTCAAGACAAGGGGCGTCACGTGCTGTCTTTATTTCTCTCTCTCCCTATTCTACAGTTACGTTTGGAGTGATACTATCCAAGTACCACATTGTTCCCAAGCTGCTAGCATTGCTGGGCCACGAAGGCATCGATTCAGAAGATAGAGTTAGCATCATGCTTACTCTCAGTCATTGCATGGAAGTCTGTGGTAAGTACTGGACGTATTTTGTATGCTTTATAAAGCAAGTCAATGTCCACTTCTGCTTTTCCCCCCTTAGTTGCGTGAAGGCCCCACCTGTCTCCAGTCCCTCTGACCCAGTCTTTAACTGCTCCTCCTCCTCCACCCACGGCCGGCGGTCAGTTGCTGAGGTCTGTGGTCCTACATCTTTGTACCCCTCCTTAGCCTTTTCTGTCCATTTCCAGTGCCGCTCTCTGACTAGGCCTGTAGCCCCTCAACATCTTTCACCAATATGAGTGCAATTGCTGCCTTCCAGGACTCATTGTTTTTAAAACCTCAATATATTTTTTCTTTTTTTTTTATCATTTTATTGGGGGCTTGTACAACTCTATCACAATCCATACATACATCCATTGTGTTAAGCACGGTCATACATTTGTTGCCATCATCATTCTCAAAACATCTGCTTTCTACTTGAGCCCTTGGTATCAGCTCCTCATTTTTCCCCTCCCTCCCTACATGCCCCCACGAACCCTTGATAATTTGTAAATTATTATTATTTTTTCATGTCTTACACTGTCCGACATCTCCCTTCACCCACTTTTCTGTTGTCCGTCCCCCAGGGATGAAGAAAACTTAATATTTCAATCCACTCTTCGCACTGTAGTACCGGATTGATCAAGCTCCCCTCTGCTGGAAACCTTCCAAGATCCTGTCGTTGTCTCTCGGTCTCTCCATCTCTTTCCTCCCCTTGCATTTTCCTCCCTCTGTATTATCGCGAGGCAGAGCCTTGGCCTCCAGCAGATAGCTCACCCTGACATGATGGTCCTCTGCTGTCATGTTTGCTGTTTTGCAGTGGAAAACCAGTATGACTTTTTAAAAAACAATGGGTTTCCACGTGTGATGCAATTCTTAGTGGAATCTCAGAATGAGGACTTTAACAGAACTGCCACTTTTGTGCTGCACCACTGCCAAAAATTTGGTAAGTTTGCCATTCCTTTAAGAAAATATCAGCCAGAGCTTATAAAGCATTTCTTGCTACTCTAAGGAGCCAAGCCCCTTGCTGAAAAGCAAAGTGTGTAATTTGGACATGACAACTGGGGTGTATTCTGTATATACAAACTGATGTGAAACAGAGCAGCAGTATAAATAATTCACTTATGCTCTGTGGACAAAATCTGTAGGACTTAAATTTGGATGTGGAGAGTGGGTTACTATAAAATCATAATATAAAGTACCTGCAGGTAGTCATCTTTAAGTGTTTGAGTGCCTGTGATGTGTCAGCACTGCTAGGCCTTGGGGATACAGTGATGAAACATACTGTTTGTGTTCTCAGGGCTCAGTTTACATGGAGTAGTAGGCAGCAACTGAATAATGAGTGCAGTCTTAGAAGTTGACATAAAGGGGCTGAAGGGATGGAATACAGATCTTTGAGAGCCTCTAATGAAGGAGGCTAACTAACTTAGCCTTGCAACAGGAAAAGGAACCTTGAACTGAGGTCTGATGGTATAGAGCTAATTGGGTGAAAAGAAGCACATTTGTGATGGGCAAGTGTCTCAGGCACAAAGGCCCGTGGTAGGAGGAAGCCTGCTGCATCTCCGGATCTGATACAGGCCAGGGTGCTTGGAAACAGTGACAATGGTAAGGAGCTTGTGTAGTCTTTGTAGCAGAGAAACTGCTCAGACTCAACATGTGAAAAGATTATGGGAATTTAAAAGATTAGAGGAAGGAATCACCTTACACACGCTTAAAAAAAAAAAACCAACTACTTTTAAACTAGTATCTAAGCAACAGGTGGTGTCCGTCTACCTGGCAGAACTTATTTTCATGTTCTTCTCCTTCCTGTAACTCTGAAGGATAGTCTCCTTTATGACTATTGGATCCTGGGCCTCTGCCAGCACTTTGCACCTTTATTGTCAGTACAGTTAGGCAGTTCAGATAGTCGGATTGAGCAAAATTTAGAGAAGGTGTGTGTGTGTGTGTGTGTGTGTGTGTTGGGGGGGGTGTTAATGAGGATATCCTTATGAAAAACATTAAAATAGCATTTCGAATAATGGATAATCGCACTATTTCCCCCCATATTACAAAGCTGAGAAATTACATCTCAGTCTAGAAAAATGTTTTTTGGATGAAAATGAAGCTGAGCAATTAAGTGTGCAAGAGAAGAATCGTGAAAAATACCGGAAGAAAGCAAAAGAAATTCTACAAAGAATAACAGAACTTGAAAGTGAAAAAGATAAGGTTGGCTGCCTCTTTGTTTCAAATAATAGAGGAGGTTTTTCTTTCTTTTTCTAACAGGCTGGGTTAGACAGTATTCTGTCATTCACAACACTGCTTTTCCAGCTTGTAAGTTTGATAATTCATTGCAGCAGCCACACACTCAGAAACAATATTCACAATTACAGGCCTCCTTAGGGAGTTAAGTTGAATGCTCAGGATACAGTTGTTCAGTCAGGATTCCCCCCAAAGGGCATGCCACTCCACTGTAAACCTCAACCCCAAAGGCATTCAGTTCAAGTTTTGTGGGTCAGTGAAGCCCACTTAATTCATTTGGGAGAATTAAGTGCCCAGAGGCACCCACCTCCAGGAAGCCATAGCTCCAGCTCTGGGGGTCAGCAAGCCCAGTTCCCTAACCAAGGGCCTACGTCATCACCATAGTGAGCACACCAAAGCATACTGGCTCCCTGTAACGCTCACTCCCGGCAGGCCTTTTCTCTCAGAGGCACAGACTTGCCTGAGGTGATGCAAAACCAATTTTCTTGCAAAGTTAATTTAAAATTGTTAATAGCTCTCAATTTGAAATGTAAAGATAATACTCGAAGAACCATCCTAGAACAAAGAACAAGAAGAATTTTTAAAAGTGAGTATGAGTGTAAAGAGGCATAGAAGACAGCATCAAGAGACATGGCAGCTTTTTTTTTTAAATCATTTTACTGGGGGGTCATACAACTCTTATCACAATCCATACATATATCCATTGTGTGTCAAGCACATTTGTAAATTTATTGCCCTCATCACTCTGAAAATATTTGCTTTCTACTTAAGCCCTTGGTATCAGCTCCTCATTTTCCCCCTCCCTCCCCGCTCCCCCTGGGACATGACATCTTAATAAAAGTTCAAAAAATATAAAGGATGTAGAATTACCTTTTCATTTACGTGTAGGCAAACATACACACACAGATGTATTTCTCATGTTTTTCTGTGGATGTACACTTTATAGCTTTGTATGTTAGTTTTTGTACAACATAATTCACACATTATAGTTTGTTGATTGTTATGAATTTTATGTTATCGGTAAGCCATATTTGATTTATGTAGCCCTTTATTATTGGACTTCACATTTTATTCAGATCATCACACAGTGTAAGCAACTCTAGAGGAAAAATCCTGATATACAAGGGAGGAGGCTTCAAAAAGTTCAGAGGAAAATGGAATTAAAAAAATCACAGAATTTTCCCAGAACTTTTTGAAGCCCCTCCTCTGGCGGTCTAGTGGCTTAATAAGCACTGGACTACTAACCTCCAGGTTGGTGACTTGAACCCACCAGCTGCCCCTCTGGAGAAAGATCAGGCGCTCTATCCCCGTAACCACGAACAGTCTTAGACCCTGAAGAGCACGTCTACTGGTCCTAGGTGTTCTCTAGGAGTCAGAATGGACTTAACAGCAGTGATTTGTTTTTCTTTTTGTTATTTTTTAAAAACAATCTCTGCCTTTTAGTTGGCGTGACCATTTAATTTGCATTTAATATAATTATTGAAATTGCGGTTTTAAGTCTACTGCCTTGCTGTTTGCTTCCTATTTATCCTATATGGTCTTTGTTGTTTTTCCAACTTTTCTTGCCTTCATTTTCATTCATTTTTAAATATTTTAGCTTGACCTATTACCTAAACATTTTTGTTTTAATGTTTCAGTGGTTTAGGATTTATAATACCTTTCTTGATCTTTGTTGTTAATGATATTAGTTATTTCTTTTATGATTTATTGGCTTTGTGTAACACTTGGAAATATTAAATATGGTTTATTTTAGAATATATATAATTTATATATTCAAGTCATTTAAATATTTGATTCCTGTCAGTGTTCTCTTTGGATCCAATTTTTTTCCTCCAGATGCCTACTGATTGCCTCACCACTATTTCCTGAATAAATTTTCCTTCTTCTTACCAATGAGAACTGCCCCAACCATATGTCTTCTATTGGCAGTCATAAACTGGTTTTTCATTATGTCAAGGGAATATAGGTTTGATTATAAGGCAAATGAATTACCTTGAAATGATTTCCTTGTCATTCTTACATCTAGGGACACATACAAAGTGAAGAAACTAAGGACAGTGTTTCATCTACGAAGATAAATACTCAGAAACGCCTCCATGTAGATCCTGTTGGTAGAAGTGCAAAAGCAGACCATAAGGACAAATGCCCATCTAGCCACACTCAGAGTTCTAAGACCCCTGGAGCCATGTCTAAAGCATGTCCAAATGAGGACCAGATGGAGACCTTGTTAAAGAGTGCCAATCCGGTTAATGCTTGTTTTAGGGAGAGCAGGAAAAAGAAGACTTTGGGCCAAGCCAATTTAAGCAGCAGCCAAAACTTATGTGAAGAAACATCTTTTGAGAAGGATAATTTTGCTTTTCCGTCAAGGTACTGCTTAATCACTCTTTCTAACTGTGGCTGATTCATCAAGTACTTACTGTGTACTTGCTCTGTACCCAAGGGATAAGCACCGGGGATGCAGAGGTGCTAAAATATCGTCCTGGTGGGAAGGGAGAGTGAATGCGGAGGAACAGGCCAGTGTATCTACTGTCTTGCATGTCTTATTCCCTTTTTATTTTAACTCCAGGCACTGAGGGTTTCAAGCTGAGTGGCCTGATTAGATTTGAATTTTAGAAAGTGTACTCGAAACTAGAAAATGTAAACTGAAGCCCTGTACCTAAAGTCATAGTACATGCATTGATAACCCATGAGCAATACAGTGAAGACCAGTCTGTGAATGCAGCCTGGACAGGGATCCATTCAGGATGAGTTCTGCATGTGATGGCCTGCCCCGGCCTTTTCCCTTATTCCTGGCTTTCTTCTCCAGTATTTCTCTTTCTCCCTGCACAGGTAGGACCCAGAGCTGTAGCTTTTCTTCTTAACCCTTTCAAGTGTGTTCTTCTCTTATTGTTACTGTGCTAAGCAAAACTAAAGAGGGTGCTGCTGCGTTCTGGGCAAGTTGTTACAGGGAGAGAGAGCAAAATCTCACTGGTAGGAAGATGGATTATACTACCACCACCACCCTTTTTTCCCCTCTTTAAGACCATTCTTGGTAGTTTTGCCTTGATTTCTCAGGGATTGGAATCGAAAACCTGAGATATGCTGTTAGAACCACTCTTCGCTCCCTCTGGGCTCCCACCCACACCCTCCTCCCTGCATTAGAGTGAGTCTGATTTCCACCCAGCTGTCATTGCCATTGCCACCTTAATATGAAAGTCAGCTGAGTGATTATTAGTATCCATTTCTTTTCCTTTCTTTTCCTCTGTGCAGCTCCTCCTGGCATGACGAGAGGGCTTCAGAAAGGCCATGAAGGAATCCCCTTATCTTTTAATTCTGTACCCACCCCAAACGTTGCAGCTGGAACGGACTCGGTGGCAGTGAGTTTGGCTGGCCTGTGCACGTGAACAGACGGCTGTAGCTGTCGCTGCGTCTTTTCTGCTCTGCAGCTCTTTCCTTTCCTGCCCTGCCTGTTAGCGTTGTGGGAGTTTAGCCATCACGTACAGTACTCATCTAGGACAGCATTGAACTGCACAGGCCACGGGAGTCAGGAAGACCTTTCAGTGTTTAATACCGAAGACTTGAATGCTTGTTGCCAGAACTTTGCCATCCTGTGTCCATGTCCTTTGTTTCCTCCCACTGATGTTCTCTCCTTTCTTGTTCTCGTTCCTCTCCCTTTCAGAGTTTTATTTTTGTTTGAGGTCTTTTCCTTCTGTAGTTGTGCTGGCATCCCTGTTCATTACTCTCTGGAGTCTTGTGTAACTCCACTCTGGAAACAACGTGGGAAACGTTGCGGACCCTAGTTTGGCAGAACTGTAGATACTGAGCAGCTTGTTCTGCCCACCACAGCCCCGGGATCACACCGCTGCTCCCACACGGTGTGTTTGCCGTACATAATCTGCTGTCTTTTTTCTCTTAGTGACCGTGCTTTGAGACGGGAGACTCTCCTCACCCAAAATAGAAAGCAGCAGGTACCAGTAGTGGGTAAGATTAAAAATGGCTTTTCTTTGGTGTTCCAAGAAAACAGATAATTAAGTGGCTGTGGCAGCTGAAAATGCCCCTTGCTTTACCTGCTCCTTTGAGACTGAAGCCACTCCATTGACTGTTCTGGCTCTAATGACCCTCAGTCATCTTTTTTTGACATTCAGAACATTTCTGATCATCTGCCAGGGTGACTGGACATGGGCTAACATTTATGAAAGCATTGAGAATGAATAAATCTTTTTTAAGATGTCAGATTCTTTTAATTAATCAAAAACAAAATCTTGCATTTTGCCACTTTTTTCCAGATCCATTTACATTATGTTCGGACATAATAAATAAAGAAGTCATCAATTTTCTACCAACTGACAATTGCTCCAAAATGTTGGAGAATAGGTGCTCAGGTCAGTATCTTTTTAATTAAAGTTAATTCATAATTAAAACTTTATATATATAATAGGCGTTAGCCAGAAGGTATCATCGTTCTACCTGTGTAGTTAAACTTCTTTTCTTTGGGAGAAGTAATTGACTGGCTCGTCATAAAACCTACATCTAGGTACCTTGTGCCTGCAGAAAGAGAAGTCTACCTCGGGCTGAGATCCCAGTACAGGCAGACTTTGGAGACCCTCCCAGGCTGGGGTTCCAAACACCACAGTGCAGTGAATATTGCAGTAAAGCTGAGTCATGGGAATGCTTGCATTTCCCAGTTCATATAAAAGTGATGTGTACACTATACTATAGCCTACTGAGTGTGCATTGCACTATGGAAAGGTTTTCAGTGTTGTGAAAATGACCAAAATGTGACATGGAGCGAAGAAGTGAACACAGTCTGTTGGGGGGGGGGGGGCAATTTGTTCAAAAAACCACCTTCTCTGTGGAGCACAATGAAGTAGAATGAGGTCTGCCTGGTGGTGGTGTGGCTTAGCTATTGGGCTGTTAACTGCAAAGTTGGTTGTTCAAATCCACCAGCCACTCTGCAGGAGCAAAGGAGGGGCTGTAAGCTCCAGTAAAAATTTACAGTCTGGAACGTCTGCATAGGGTCGCGACGAGTCAAAATCAACTTAATAACATTGGGTTTGGTATTCTGGTTTTTATATTCATTTATATAAATCTACTCAATAAGTACCTTTTTAATTATTGATCATTTATATCACATTAGTGCCAGCTACATGTTTTTTACTGAAACTGTTTTTTCTATTTTTCAGAGACCAGTAGCATCTTTTGGGTTGTGCTCTGAACGTTTTAATCATTAAACATTCAAGCAGGGTCTTTGTATCTTTACAATGAAGGGATGAAGGGATGAAGGTTTCTCATATTCCAGGCACCACTGTTTCTTTTTTTTTTTTCATTGTACGTTTTTATCCATTTATTTATTTATTTATTAGCATTTTATTAGGGGCTCATACAACTGTTATCCCAATCCATACACACATCAATTGTGTAAAGCGCATTTGTACATCGTTTCTCAAAACATTTTCTCTCCACTTAAACCCCCGACATTAGGTCCTCATTTTTCCCCTCCCTCCCCGCTCCCCCCTCCCTCATGAGCCCTTGATAGTTTATAAATTGGTATTTTGTCATATCTTGCCCTATCCGACATCTCCCTTCACCCACTTTTCGGTTGTCTGTCCCCCAGGGAGGAGGTCACACACAGTTCCTTGTAATCGGTTCCCTCTTTCCTACCCATTCTCCCTTTACCCTCCCTGTTTTGCCACTCACACCACTGGTCCTATAGGGCTCATCCGTCCTGGATTCCCTGTATTTTCAATTCCTATCTGTACCAGTGTACCTCCTCTGGTCTAGCCAGACTTGTAATATCGAATTCGAGTCATGGTAGTGGGAGCGGGGAGGAAACATTTAGGATCTAGAGGAAAGTTGTATTTCTCATCATTGTTACATCGCACCATGACTGGCTCATCTCCTCCCTGAGACCCCTCTGCAAGGGGATCTCCAGTGGCCTACTAATGGGCTTTGGATCTCCACTCCACACTCCCCCCATCATTCACTATGGTAAGATTTTCACCACTGTTTCTTTTTACCACAGTCCCCTTGTAGCGGCTCCACCCCTTCGCCTCCTCTTCCACACCCCACTATCCCCTCGTGCACGCTTACCGTTGCCTTGGCTCTCTGCGGAAAATGGAGGCTCCTCCAAAGCCCTCTCAGAGGAGTGCTCTTCTTCAGCCTTGCTGAAGAGTTGATCTCTGGGACTAAAGCGGGTACCTGACCACATTCTCACTCTTATTCCTTTCTTTCTGCCCCATGATAACAACAGCCAAGCCTTCTCTGCACCATCTCTCTTGACATTGACACTTCTTTCAGAACCTTGGACTGCTCAGGTCGCCTCATCTTCAACAATGCAAATCCTCTGTGATTGGCTGTGCCTGGAAACCCTCATCCACCGGTGTCATCCTTTTTCTCCTTGGGTAGATTCCTGCCCTTGCTTCCTTCTCCGATCTAGTCATTCCCTTCTTAACCCCTTGCTACCTGGCTTTTCTTTTATTGCCCTTCTCCCAGGCTTACGCATGAAAGGTTATCTGAAGCCTCTTTCCCCGCGAAAACTGATGGCTTAAAAAAATTTCTCCCCTCCTTAGTAGCTCTGCAGTCTTATACTGCTGCTCCTGGAAATCCTCCCTTTCTCCGTGGTCAGGGACACCGCAGCGTAGACAGCTGCACGACTGCTGGCCCACGGCAGTTCACACGGCCATCTCCCGAGCCCACCCCTCGGCTTCGGTAGCTGTGATGTCTTTGTGAAGCGGAGTGTTAAGGGTGGTTGGGATAAAAAGCAAGCGCTTTGTGGATGTCATTGTGGACTCGAAGATGAAGGTGGTGGTGCGGGTGACGACGCCGAGGCCTCCGAAGCTGCTAAGTGCCCACCTCCCAGAGGAAGTCATTGTCATTAGGAAGAGGGAAATGCATGTATTATTTTCCCTTTAACTTTATGGGTATTGTTTTTTCAAATGACTATCAAGTTGTTCAAACATGAATATCCAGGAAGTTGTTTTTGGACCTATCAAAACATTTCTTTTGGCTTCAGCGGCTGTACAAAAATATCTGAGGCCTTAAAGGTGCCATGAACCCAGGAAATTTGAGAGCCTCTAGTCTAAATTGTTCCTTTTGGCAGAGTGGAGATTCTGTTCACCCCATTTCATCCTTCATTTTTGCGCTAGCTCTGTTCCTCCCTCTCTGGCCCTTTATTCACCACCTCAACACTTCTAGAGTGCTCATTTTACGGCAGACCCTGGAACAGAAGAGTCCTGACCTCAACAAGTTTGCCATCTGTTTGTCACTCTATCGTTCATTTCCCGCTCACTTTTTACAGGCATTCCCGCCGAGGACCCAGGTTCGAGCATGTCCTCAGTGCTAGCTCTGCATTTACTGTGTGGCTTCTGCTGTCTTGTTGCCAGTGACTTTCAAACCTGTATCTCCATACTCAGTTTCTACCTTAGTTTGCAGCTTCCTGTTTCCGTTTCGAGCTGCACTTAAGGCTTACCTACTTAACCCTAACACTAACCCGAGGCCTTATCCTAACACTATGCTTAACCCTGAAACTAAGGATAACACTAACCCTAACCTTAACCCTAGGCCTAATCCTAACCCTAGCACTAACCCCAATGCTAATGCTAAACCTAACCCTAACCGTAGACCCAAACCCTAGCCCTAACCCTGACTATAATCCTATGCCTAACCCTAACCCTAAATTACACAAACTCAAACCCTAAAACTAACCCTAATCCTAAAACTAAAAATAACCCTAACCCTAATCCAAAACCGAAACCTAGACCTAACCCTAACCCTTACGCAAACCCGAGGCCTAATCCTAACCCTATGCTTAACCCTAAACCTAAGGATAACACTAACCCTAACCTTAACACTAGACCCAGTCCTAACCCTAACCCTAACCCCAATAGTAATGCTAAACCTAACCCTAACCATAAGCCAAAACCTTACCCTAACCTAAACCCTAACCCTAACCCAAGGCCTAACCCTGACTATAATCCTAGGCCTAACCCTGACCCTAAGCCTAAGACTAACCCTAACCCTAACCTTAAACAAACCCAAAGCCTAAAACTAAAGCTAACCCTAAACCTAACCCTAACCCTAGGCCTAAACATAACCATATCGCTCACCTTGCTGATACCATGTAACCAAAACATGGCCTTATTATTGTTCTTCAGTTGTCCTTCCCAAGTCACCCCATTTCGGTTGGCATCACCATTACTTTTCTGGCCTATGTGACGTCAGTCTTGGAATCATCTCTGCCTGTCCCCGCTCTAGTCTCTTTCCAGCCCCACATGTTAGCTCCTCCTTCTTTCCCTCGGGAGCCTGTTTTGCTTCATGCATCGTTCCCTCCAGAATCTTGGCAGCAGTCTTAACATTTCCAGGGCCACCCACCCATATTGCTGCTAGCTTCTCTTCCCAACATATGGTTTTTAGTATGTCACCTTCCTGAGAACCTGAATACTTCTGTCACCCTGAATCGGAGCTTTTGCCTGGCTTTCAAAACTGTGTTGAATTTTGTCCTGCCCCACTTGTTAAATTGCAAACTGCATGGTGGTTCTTTCCTTCTGCTGCAGATGCACCATATTAATTCTCAATTTTCAACCTGCAGTCAAATTTCAAATTACTTGAGAATTTTACCAAACTTCTCCCTTAGCCAGCAGCACATTATTCATAAAATTCTGCTAATTCTATCTCATAAATCTCTCCATTCTCCCTGTAAATGCCTTGCTTCAAGAGCCCCCCACTTATTTTCTGGACTATTAGAGTAACCTCACAACTGACTCTCTTGTCTTCGCGTGAGCTTTCCACAAGACAAATGAAGTTGTATCACTTCCTAAATATCTTCCAGTTCCTCCCATGGCCTTCAAGTGAGTTAAAATCCCTTAGCGTGGTTTTCAAACCCTTCCTGCTCTGGCTCCCCAACCTCTGCTTGTCTTCTTTGCATTGACTAACAGCTCTCGTGACCTATACTCCTGCCACACCAGCACATTTACCGTGATTCTCTGACCATGCTGTGCGTCCATGATTTTGCAAGTGTTTGCTGTATCTAAAATTTCTTCACCATATACCATCAAGATGCCCAACTAACTTCTTCTGGTTCAGAATGGGCCACAAATACCATTCAGTGACAGGTTGGTGGGGAACCAGATGATAGGTAGATGTGGATGACATTACCTAAGCCTATGCTTCAATATTAACATTAAAGAGAGAGGTACTCAGGCATTGTGTTCCTCTTAATAGTATGTAGAAGGGAAGACAGTACATGAAAGGACTTCAGAACATTCATGGGGAAACTCCATTATCTCTAAAGTGCCAGTTTTTATGAACTTTTTGAACCCCCTTGTACCTATGAGGAATTATGTCCCCCCAAAATCGATCCTGGGCCTGATCAATCATATAACTCTAATTTTAAAAAAACACAACCAGGTCGCTGTCAGCGAAATTCAAACTTCGGGGAACTCTGGACCACAAGTGACCTGGTGTCTTTAACAATTCGGTGACCAGGAAGAAAAGGGAGGAGAAATGATGGAGAAGTAAAGACACTCAAGCAGCATCAACCAGACGTGGTGGCAGACCTGTGGGGTCATGACTCCAACAAACCAGATGTAGAAGAAACGTTGGTGCGACGGGGAAATGTGAATCTGACCAGACGTTAGATGATACTAGGCAGACATTTACTTAAACAGACAAAAGCAGTCCTGCTCTGTTATGAATGCATCTGAAGTATTTACTGATGAAATGATACTATAGAGAAAAACAATAGGTTTGCAGACAGAGCAAAATGGGCATTTAGAGTAAACATGGTTGATTAAGGGTTAATAACTATTAAACCTGGGTTATGGCTACATCTCACTGCCATCGAGTCGATTTTGACTCATAGCAACCCTACAGGACAAAGTAGAACCCTCCCTGTGGTTTCCAAGGCTGTAAACCGCTAAGGGAGCAGAAAGCCTCATCTTTCTCTGGTGGATCCACTGACCAGGTTTGAACGACTGATCTTGTGGTTAAGCAGCCCCCAGCGCACAATCAACTATGTCACTAGGCCTCCTTATATTGGGGTTCATTGTATCTGTCTCTTTACTATGTGTTTGAAATTGAAAAGGAAGACAGGCCCAAAGAGTCACTATTTATTTATTTATTTGATATTTTGTTGTCCAGCGAAAGCTTACATAGCACGGGTCACTGTTTTGGGTTGTCTTCCCTAACAGTTGTCTCCTGCTCTGAAGCAGACCAAGCAGGTTCTTCTCTCGGTGTCACCTAGCTGTCCCCTGTCTCCATACATCCAGCCCAACACTTATTTTACTGTGCTCTATCTCTTGTCTTTACTTCCTCACATGACTTTGAACTTCGTGAGGGAGTTGGAGTGTCATTTCTGAGCTGCTGATTTCAGTTACCAATGTGAAGCTGTCTGCATTCACAGGCCTGTTCTGAGGTATTCTATAAAATCAACACCACTTTGTTTTCTTGTAGGTTGCAAAGCAGGCGGGAAATCCCTGAATAGCCGGAATTTTAGCAAGCTCTTGCACTCTTGCCCATACCAGTGTGATCGTCACAAAGTCATTGTGGAAGCTGAAGACAGATACAAAAGTGAACTAAGGAAATCACTTATCTGTAACCAAAGTAATTCAGTAACTTAAAAACTGTAATTATAACTATCTTCTGCATGCTTATCTAAAATATGAAGTATATTGGGGGCTAGAGGGTAAAAGAATGTTGCAAAGACCACCTATCTCTGAGTAGCCGGAGAGTGAAGAAGATGCCCCACAGAGTCCATGGTTGTTTAAATGCCCTTCCTCAGCCACCAAAGGCTGCTCATTAGAGGGGGAAATGAGGCAAGGTCACACTAATAGGTCGGGTGAGCTGGCCTTCAGATTGGTACCCAAAGTATGCCAATTGCTTTCTGTTTTCCAGAAATCCTGCTGACCCCACAGAGAAGACGACTGGGTAGTGACTCCACTGTCCCTGGAGGAAGAAGTGAATATATTTCATTGTTAAATATGCTTACATTTTATGTTTAAACATTCCTGTTCTAGCCATTAAGTCACATTTCTATTTTCAGCACATGATTACTCTCCTAGGCACAAAGAACTCAGAGGGGTGTTTTTGTGTATAGCTACAGCACTTCACACAATCACAATAATATAAACTGTAAAGCCCTGCTTAAACATGAACATCTTTCTTAAATGATGAATTCATGTGAGGCAATTTGAATTTAACTACAAGGTTAACATTTCACCTCTATCACATCATGCTCTACCTTTATTGCAGAGGCTTAAAGAACATAATCATTTTTCTCTCTTTATATGGAATTAATAGCCTTTGGTAACAGGAAGCAGTTCAGTATATTCCTTTTCCTGGTATCACTGTGGGTTAGGCATTGCACTGCTAATCAAAAGACTGACAGTTCAAACCCACAGGAGAAAGATGAAGCTGTCTGTTCTTGTAAAGATATATACCCTAGAGAACCCCGTATGGGAATGCTGAATCAGAATAATTCAAAGGCTGTGGGCTTGTGCTGGTCATCTACACATAGCATCTACAAAGCCATTCTGTATATATTGCAGAGACAGTTGGGCTTAGTACATCCAGGAAGCATTTTGACACAGAGATTTGTTCATTCTCGCTCCCCAAATTGTGAAAGAAATGTCAAATGTACTTTTTATATCTGGATCTTTTTCTAGATTAAACCATCTGCATGCAAACTAAGTATGAGTACCACTACAGGGGAGCCTATTATTTAAAACAATGTTTTCTGGAGGAAGAGTTAACAAATGGATGTTTTTCCATGTGAACATATTACACTCACTTGGACATCTTGTTCTTGTCAAGGACTTGTCATCAATTTTCAACCTCCCTCTAAAGCAAATATGTAACAACTAAAATTATCCCTTAATCATTTTACTCAATAAAGTCACGATATGGCCCTGGAGAGGTCATATGTAGAGAACAGAGGCATCCTAAACATCGTAAATGACCGTCAGCCAGTAAGTGCTGAGCAACTTTTGTAGGCTAAACTTGCTCGATTTAAGACCAAACAGTTAGTAATTTGGCCTAATTTTTTAGACTCAAGAAAGGCATCTTGAGGGGGTAGTGCTTCTATTGGTTTTATGGCTCGCTCTTACAACCTGGCCAGAGGTGTTGAATAGATTGCCATTTTCCCTCGTGATAGATTTCCCATTTCTCATGGAGGCATTCACTACCACTCCTTTGATAAGAGCTTACACCCAAATTTGAAACTTCTTTTGAGAAGGGACCATTGCAGCATCTAATCATTTGAAGGTTTCCCCTAGGTGTGGATTGGACTCTTGAGAGAGTTTGAAAATAGGAGTCTCCAGATGTAAACCAAGGAGCCTGGGTGGTATAGTGGCTTATGCATTGGGTTACTAACTGCAAAGTTGGTGGTTCAAACATACCAGCTGCTCCTCAGGAGAAAGATGAGGCTGTCTGCTCCCATAAGGATTCACAACCTTGGAAAGCCCATCAGGGACAGTACTACTCTGTCCTATAGGGTCACTGTGAGTCAGAATTGACCCAGTGGTAGTTGAATAAGACCAGAGCCCTTTTGCTCATTTTTCTTCCCTGACACTGATGGAGGAGCTTCCAGTGCCCCTCCCAGGCTGTCCCGCATTTTGCTGCAGATGACCAAGAAGAACTGGCAGAGATTTTAAATAAAGGAGTAGGGAAATGGAAGCTACAGTGGAAAGGTGGGGCTGGCCTTACAGGAGCAATCCTAACACCCCAATGAAAGTTCTCATAACTCATAACCCTGATTATGATGAAATCAAATCATGTAGCAAGTGAAGTTGCTCCTTGTATGACCAGTTTTTCAGTAGATGCCAAAGCAAAGCACACTTCATTGATAGCGTTTGAACCAATTTTGGCAATGATAACTTTTTGGTATTCAACAAATATGTGTCCAATGCTATCCTGGGCACTGGGAGTACAAGGGTGAGGAACACAAGACAAAATCCCTGACCTGAAAGAGTAATACCATTAAGCAGTAGTCAGATATTACCTACATTGTTTTCTCACCCGTCTGGTGTAATATTTTCTCTGCTGTTTTGAAAGGTCTGAGCTATGGAGAGTTTTATTATCCTAGTTGAGGTAGCTAAATGGCCAAGGCAGGATTTTTTTTGTAAACGTTTTTTATTGTGAATTGAGTGAAGGTGCATAGGAAAGATCAATTTTCCATTTAACAATTCATATGTATTTTGTTTCAGCTTACTGATTGCAGTCCCCACAATGTAACTGTACTTTCCCCCCTTCCTTCCTGAGTTTCCAGTTGCCACTCCTCCTCTCTCCTCACCCTTCTGAACTTTGTGCCTATTTGATCTCAAGTGATTGATTGTTTTAAGGTGCGCCTCCCAAGTGTTATTATCCCCCTTATAGACCTGTCTGTTGTTTGGCTGAAAATCGACCCACGAAGCTAAGTTCATTGCCAGGCTTGAAGGATGACTGTGGGCCATAGTCTCTAAGGTTCCACCAGTGTCTGTCCAACCAGTAACCCTTGTCTTTTTGTTATGATTTTGAGTTTGTTCTATATTTTTCTTCCCCTCTATCTAGGGCATTCTAATGTGATCTCTTTCAGAGAAGTTGGCTAGTGGTAGCTGGACACTATCTAATTCTTCTGTCCTCAGGGTGGTGAGGACAGGTCTGCTATTAGACTATTGGACTGATGGTTTTCGTGCATCTTTGATTTTCTCCACTCTTCTTTCCTCTGCATCAGGAGAGACAAATAATTGCTCCTTAGATGACTGCATATGAACTGGTATCACCCCAATCACACTCACCAAAGTAGGATGTAGAACATTGTCTCTGTGAACTCTGTTATGCCAATTAACCATAGTGTCCCTTGAGACTAGGGTTCTGGGCCACTGTTGTAGAGACTCCTTTCCTTCCAGGTGTTTGGGTATATCTGCTATGCTTTCATAAACTTGAAGGGCAACCCTCCGAGAACAAATACTGTATCTTCACATTACAGTGCACCCACGTAAACCGCATGCACACACATAAAGCATGCATCAACACATAGGAAACTCGGGCACCCAGGGGTTGAGTGGTTTGCAGAAACTATAACATGTATATTACTTGTGTAAAAATCTGTTACTTCTAATCCCACAGAAGTAAACAGCAGCTATAGGTGGTTGTGCAAAAACTCCCCACCGGCATCTAGTAACAAAACTGACGGGAACTAGCAATGAATGACAAGCTCAGGAAGAACCAGTTCTTGGTAATGATCCGCAGAAAATACTTACGGTGACTGATACCTGCTGTGTACATTTTCTTTTGTAGAAAGCCTTTTTAACCCAAAAAACTTCCTTTACTACTATATGGTACCTTACAAAAAAGTTTTATTGGGACATAATCCACATATCATACAATTCAGTAGTTCAGTCGTATCAAGGAGAGTTGTGCAATCATCACGACACTCAATTTTAGAACATTTTCTTCTTTCTTGTATGCATTAGCTCCCTATTTCTCCCCCACTTTCCCTTGCCTTACCCCCAAGAATCATTAATGCAGTTACTGTCTCTCTAGGCTCACCCTGGATTTCACGTACTAAAAATAGGCAAAAACGCTACTAGCATAATAGAGAAAATCCTCAATTGAAAAGAAAGCAGAAAATTTTGAAAACTAAAACAGCTTTAAATTGGATCAAAAGGGAGATCAAAATGATAAGGTGTTAAATTGTAACCTAACTCCATCTGCCATCACCCACTTCCCAATGCACTCTGCATGAGAGCAGGCTGGTCTGTGGTCAGAGGGGATCCACCCGAGTATGCCCCTTAAAGAAAATTGCCTTTGGGTTGAGCTCAGTACCCTCGGTAGTTAGTAAACATGGTTTTTATAGTGACATGGTTTTCAAGAGACCCTTATTCTTTAAAAATATTAATTCAGCCTGATATTTAAAGTAACAAATGTTGGTATTTTTTTCTATTCTATGAAGTTATGGAACCCAATGGGAAGACTGTATCTATAAGATAGGTAAGCTTTCTGTTCTCTGTCCGTAAAGGAATGTTGAGAGAATGAACAGTTGGATGATGATCAACTTTTTTGTTTCCTTGTTTCTTGATTGAAAGATATTGCAGGTATCATTGTAATAGGATTCAGTTACAATTACTGAAGAAGTCACAGCATTTAGCTTGTTTATCAGTGGGCAGGTTTGCAGAGCGAGTAGATTTCCATATCATAAATAATCCAAGCTTGAAGTTTTCTCGCTCCACAGTTCATATCCTTAAACTCAGTTAAGCAGTTATTTGGCTTTCAAGAAGATTGCTCCCCACCCCTTTTTTTCCTGTGTCTCCTGTAAGAACTAATATCGTCTACCATTCTCATTCACTACAGAGAAAAGAAGGACTCGTAAAAATTTTACTGAAGAAGAAGTAAGTTACCTTCTCAGTGGTGTTAAGAAAATGGGAAATCACTGGAATTCCATTTTGTGGTCTTTCCCATTTCAGCGTGGAAGGACAGCTGTGGACCTGGCTCACAAATACCACAAGCTGACCAAAAGCCCGAAGCATGTAGCTCCTTGATTGGATAAAGACTTTATATGTTTTTAAATTTGAACTCTTAAAATACAGTGAGTGCTTTGAACATACAAGCATTGGAAGTCACTTTCTAATTAAATGTTTTGTTACATTGGAATTCATCAAATGCTGTAATTTTACCAAAAGTGCATTTTCAGTGTGCAGTTTAGTGAAAACACATTCTCATATAAAGTCATGATTTCTTTAGAATGTATATTTATCCTTGAAGCTTAATAAACAGCTGAGAAAATTAGCAGCCTTTGCACATTATATTGTAATTTAATATCATCTGAGACACCTGGAGTGTAAAACTTGGTGCCTAAATTTATCCCCAGAATTTAGAAAGATAGTCAAGCTATTGAGGGATGGGATGTTTCTCCACCAACTAAGTTACTGCCCGATACTTGGTTAATTAAAATGTTTCTGTTCTATATGTTAATTGTGCATTTGTTTTGAACACTCCAACATTCATGTTTGCTACCTCTCCAACTGTACAACAGGTTTTTCTTGTTGCTTTTTATGGTCATTTTCTTTAAGTAGAAAATCAAACTGATGACTTCTCAGTTTTCTCATTTTTGGACTCATTTTATATTCCACCCTGATCCCCAAAGGATGTTATCACAGCCTCCAGAATGCTTACGGTGGCTGCACTGTGGCTCCTGACCAAGTAGCAGGGCCTGAGAGCTTAGCTGGGACTCTGCAGGCAGTGGTTCCATGCTTCGTTACCCGTGTCCTCTTCAGCCCCAGGAGGCACTTATTTCCCTACCAGCGTGCAGTTTTTTCCCGCCTTTTCAGATCATTAACTATTTCTACTTGGATAAATCAGAGTGTTTGTTAAATTTCTTATTTTGTGATCCACCGTGGAAATTCCAGAGAATCGTAAGTAGAGAATTGTATTTGAATGCAAAATTTCCTTCAGGCAAGGGAATAATTTGCAATTAGGAAAATTCCTTGCAGCATTTCAACTGGGAATGGATACAGTACAGGGTTTCTCAGTATCTGCTGAGCACTATTGGGTGTGATTTAGTCCCCTAGATTATTTTATTTTGAGTAGTTCTTTTTAGGATTTGTGAAAGCTAATGGAGGGTGCAAGGGAAACCTTCTGTCGGTTGCCTCAGGCCTGTCAACAGAGTCCAAAGTTGTCCGAGTGCTGTTCAGATTTAATCTAAACAGATCTTTCAAGTGGGTCTTAGATAACAGCCCTCTTCTTGATTAGAACTTACGTGCAAACAAACCATACTTAACAGAAGCACCCCAGGAATAGGACATTCTGTCGCTTAGATACTGTTTTCCATCAGTCTGTGATGCCATACATAAAAGAAGCTGTACTGCCATCGGAGGTCTTGAAATTTCACTCTTACTCTTGACTACGAGCTGCTTTTACTTCCCCAGAGAGAGAAAGTTGGCAATAAAATAAACAAAGACAAGAGGAAATCAAAATAATGACTTATTAGAGGACTACTTGGCTTTACAAAATCAGAACTGGCCGGTTCCATGGAGAATGAAAATTCCAGGGATCATAACAGACCACTGGAGTTGGAACTGGGTCAGTTATAGGTCCCTTCCAGAAACATGGACTGATGTCTGACAGTCTAGACACTGGAGACGACAAGGGGGTATACAGCATTCATGCAAAAATGGAATTAAAAGAAAATATATTTTTTCTACCAACTTTTTGAAGCACCTTCATATATCCTTGGAACTGTGCAGTTTGTTCCTTCAAGGTGATAAAGATCAGTTCTTCCGCACATGACAGTACGGCAGCAAGTCTCGCTACCAGGGTTCCGGTTCATGCACGTGCGGGTTCACCCAACACAACTTGTTCGCGAAACCCCTCAATCGGGATGGACGGCTGCAGACGAGTTCTCTGAGGGCTGCACTGCCTTGGTCTGGTTATGATGCTTCTGAAGAGATCTGCTGAGCCAGTTAAATCCAAGGCAGAGAGTCATCAGGAAATTACGACAATTTTAGGGGGCTTTCCAAGAGATCACCGTGATAGATTTTCTAGAAGGATACAGGATCATCATGGGGGCTTATTATGAAGAAGTTTTAAGAAAACCCCAAACTATTGGTGAGAAAAAGGCCACAAATGTTGTGCCTGGGAATTTCCCCCCATGGCAATGGCACCTGTACTTTCTTTGATGCTTCCTTCAGAGAATTTTGTTCAGAGGCCTTAGCCCATCTACCCTCCAGCCCTGATCTTACCCCTTCAGACTTCTTTCAGATTCCCAAACTCAAAGAACGTTTAATAGGAACACAATTTGAGTCCCTTAGGGAAGCCCAAGCTGCTGGTGTGAAGCAGAGAGAGAGCTTTGAGAGGAAGGGTTAGAGAATTGGAAACACTTCCTTCAAGTGTACATTGACCTGGAGGGGGAGGATATGTCAAGAAACAATAGCTTCATATTTCTGTATTGGTCTGATGAAAGTATGCCTTCGTAGCAATAGTTTTTTTACCTACCCTCATACTAAGTGAGACTTGCTTCCCTGGAGCACATGCTATCGAATCACAAATGTAGAATCCCTTTTCAACAAACCAGCCCTTCAGAAACTCCTCCCACCCACCCTTTAAACCTTCAGACCAGTGGTTCTCAACCTGTGGGTCGAGACCCTTTGGGGACTGAACAAAGGGTTCACCTAAGACCATCAGAAAACACATATTTCTGATGGTCTTAGGAACTGAGACACCACCCCTCTAACCCAGGCGGGTTGTCCACATGCAGATATGCCCACATCTTGAGTACCCGGCACATGAAGACTGTTACCTATGCTACACCATGCTTCAAGACAAAATTTCATTTATTTGTCATTAGAAATATTTCACAATATATAATTACATAATGTTTTGTGATTAATCACTGTGTTTTATGTTCAATTTGTAACAATGAAAATACATCTTGTTGATGAGAAATACAACTTTCCTCTAGTTCCTAAATGTTTCCTCCCTACTCCCACTACCATGACTCGAATTCAATCTTGCAAGTCTAGACCAGAGGAGGTACACTGGTACAGATAGGAACTGAAAATACAGGGAATCCAGGACGGATGAGCCCTATAGGACCAGTGGTGTGAGTGGC